TGTATATCCCTATGAATGTGTAAATTTATTTGTACTCTATTTCTTCTATTATACTAACTGTATTTCTATTATTTCAGCATATCCAGAGCATTGATTTTTATCTCCGCCTGAAAGCTGCTACATTTAAGTTTCCCCAAAAAAAAAATTACTTCCTGCACTTACTTTCCAAGTCATCTTAATGCCTTTTATGATTCTTACAAGCCCGGTTCAGGTGATGTATTAAAAGCAGCCAATGATCAATATGTGATTGATGTTATTGCAGGCGATGAAACTCAATACTTACGCCCGTGGTATGAATGCGACTACATCTACTTTCCATTTAATCTTGATTCTAAACATTGGTAACTAGTTGTTGTACATGTTAGTGCAAACACTCTATTTGTGTACGATACCAACAACAGAGATGCATCCATTCCAAAATCAATGTGTACTGAAATGCGTGGTCTCATTCACTATCTTCCTCTCACCTTGTCTCACATGCGGTCTTGTGCCCATGGACGTGTATATGGTGTTGTTAGTTCTGCCACTATTAAAATGGCCCATGGCGTCCCACAACAGACCAATGGGTAAGCGGCATGTTATCTAATTTAAGTGTTTTGACCTTTTTCAACTCAAAAAACAGATTTTTAAACCATTTTTTATTATCTTTTCAGGGGAGATTGTGGGCTTTTGGTGATGAAGATGGTTGAACTACTTCAAATGGACATGGATATCCAGCTTGTGTGCCCCGAAAAAGTTCCTTCTTATCGAGAAAAGTAGGCTCATGACCTTTATGTTCATGGCACTTCAATGGGAAAAGCTATAGTTACACATTCATCTGTTGTTTAAGTTTGTTTGGATTTCATACTAAATATGTTCTACAAACTTGTAGTAGTCAAAACTTAACCTCTTTTGTGACTTTTTGGATTCATTTTGATGTGTGGTACTTATGTACTTCATAACTACTCTTGAATAGTGACTTTGGTTTCATGCTATTGATAAGTACTTTGAATAGTTCTTCTTTTTGTGACTGTAATTCTTTGTGTTGTTAATTCTTTTCACTATGACACCATTATTATACTTCTATATATCCCTTTCGACAATAACAATACATCATATATAAGTATAACACAACTCATTCTAAAATATTCAACTTCACCCTCGTATTGGGCCTATTAGGCTAATAATTATACAAAAAATGAACATGTTAAGAATAATATACTTTATATTTTTTGCTTTCAAACATAAAAGAAAACAATTCAATTTTGTATGACTGGCAATGTCAAAATAGTAATAGTGACACATGATGCAGTGACACACTTGTCAGTTACATGGTGTTGATACTTAAACTGCCACATGTTGCAGAGACACGAGTGGTTAGTTACATAATGTTAATACTTATAGTCACACGTTTTGCAATGACATATAAGTTATACTCCTAGTGACACGTTATTCCAGTTAGAACAATGACAGTGACAAAGTCTTATAACTACTAGTGACACTTTTTGCAGTGACAACAATGGTAGTGACAGGGCTCTCTTAGTGACAAACTTCACCAGATGCTTTCATCTTCCAGTTTATTAGTTGTGGCTACCATTCATATATATTTTCACACACTTACAACTTCACATTTTACCATTGATAAACTCAATTTATTATCACTTTAAAAACAACTGAAGTTCAAATCAATTCTGTCCCAAGAGACACATCACACACAGAGATATTGTGAAGTACACATACTTCATTAAAATAGTAACTACATATAACATTGAACATATCATTATCATCTCAATCCTTAGTGACGTGGTATCGGGTTGTTGCATGTCTTTTGATTGTGTCCATTTTATTTACATCTTCCACGCCTTTGCTGTGTAACAAACTCACCAATTAAAGGAATCCTTTTATTCTTCGGTCTTCCAACTGGCCGTTTCTTTGATATTGGTGGGTAAATAATCTGATTTCTTACTTCACTGGGGACATCTGCTTCACAACACTCACCTAGTGGTTCTATGATTCCTGCATAAGCTTCCACTCATGTGTTATTCTTCTAATATGTTGAAATGTGGTCATAGCAAGATAATCCACTCCTTGACCTAATGGATGCCACTGCATGAGCACACACGAAGTCTTCCCATTGAAACTCTCTACAAGTACATTCTCTGGACTCAAGGTCAACCACAAATGTCCTACACCTTTGATCTATCACTTCATACTTAAAAATAGTGCTTGGTCTTACCTGTAAAAAATACAAAACAATCATATAACTGATTATATATGAATCCAATATAATTTTAACAATAATAAATCACAATACATTTCACTGCCTTAAAAACAGTGTAACTGGAATTCAAAAGACCAATATTATAAGCTTTTATACTTTTCTAAACATATTATACCTTTTCTAGATTATTATATACACCCTATTAATAAAATTTTACTCACAATCATGCCGGCAGAATCTCTTAGCAAATTTACAAGCACAGCTTCCGCTTTTGGGGATAAAGTTGCTGCATTTTCTGTGGCTTCTTTTCTTCTGTCATGAAACCATGTTGGCAATTTAGCCTTAGAAACTCAACCAAAATGGATATCGGGTACTCCCTAGCAGTGGCATCAACATTATTGAAGGACTCTGCATTATTGGATGTCACTATTGAGTACCTCCTTATCATTTTACACCTAGCCCATTTTTCACAACCGATTTCAGCTAGAAATTGTCGAATCCTTGGGTCTTCGGAGTCATACTTTCTGTTTTTTGCCAACCTAGCAGCAGCATTGAAAAACTTTATAACATTTTTCTTTTTCCCGCCTAGCTTTGGAGTTATATTTCCAAGTAAGTGTTGCACACAATACCCATGATGAGCACCAGGATATACCACTTTCACAGCACTAATAAGACCTTCGTTTCTATCTGATACAAAGCACATTTCTTCTCTTTCTCCAATTGATTCTTTAAGATTAGTAAAGAACCACAACCATGATTCTTTGTTTCCAAATTCTATTGGTAACAAATGTCGGTTTGCAACAAGAGCACATGCAGAAAGAATTGTCCCACGATATTTTGATTTTAAAAATGATCCATCTACACTAAGTATTGGCCTACAAGCAAGCCACCCTTGTCTACTTGCTCCCAGTGACATAAACAAGTTCTTGAAATTATTCTGAGAATCAGAATTGAGAGATATAATAGATCCTGGGTTTTCTTGGTCCATTATATGATATGACATCGGCAATTTCATGTATGACTCTTTATTAGTTCCAGATATTGATGTCAAAGCCTTTTCTTTAGCTCTCCATGCTTTCTTGTAATTCACATTAACTCCCAATTTCCAATTTAAGTCTGTCGTTATGGCTTTTGGTTGATATGGTTATCTGGAGGCATCTAGGTATTGATGCTTAATCATTTTTCCAATTATCAATGCATTGGCTTGCCTATTCCCACTCAGCCTACTATCAATTGAGCACTTGTGTACATTATCAAACATGTAACAAATGAAAATTTATTTAACACAATAGTATTGATTGTTCACCTAAAAACAAGGTAATTTTAATATACAGTGACACAAGAATTGATGTAACTGTTGTTAGTATATATTTCTTAGCGACAATCACTTTTTAGAGATATATGTACTTGATCACATTCAGTTTTATATATTTGATATATACGGTACTACGCATTGATGACTAAGTATTTCGATTGTCAATATCTTATTCATAATTGTGTTCCCATGGACTTATGTTGTCAATAAGTAAGTGAGAGCTTATATGATATAACATAAGGTCCTAAAATAGCCTCGATACATGATCATCAAGAATGGGATATTGATGATATGCGATAAGATTGGTATGTGGACTGCATCATACTCTTAGAAAGTATAGTTGATCTCACAACTATGAGTTCCTAATTCATGATGGTCACATAGATATTTTAGAGAATATTGGCATACCCACCGAGAAACCATTTGATAAGTTCTATTAATGTTTCTATGGGATTATCGGCGTATTGAGTAGTGTAATAGTCCTCTGACTTGAGGTCAATACGTACTACATGTGAGGAGTGATTTACTCTGACCATGATCAACGCTTGCACTCCAATCGGGGTAGATACGGCATGTGTTGGGTGCATCACGAAGCCATCGAGTAGTAGTTGAGCCAAGAAAGGGTTCATTCCTCATAATAGATTAAGGGAGAACATTCTACTTCTCATATCTAGATGGATCATAAAGTCATTGGCCAATGCAAGGATATATTCATTTTGGATATCGAATATGATCGTTATGGATCATCTAGAAAGATTGAGAGGCAGAAACTAAGTTATTGGAATAGACACAATATCATGTTCTAGACTTAGTTGAATGTTCGTTGAATGAAAGGACCGTATCACTATGAGCTCTATATTACAGGAAGTTTGTATAGTCCTCGCAAACGTCCTTATATATTAAGTTTGTCTGGAGAATCATCTAGGGATTCGCTAAGACCTTAATTTGATTAGTGCTTAAAATATAAGGCTCAGGTCACACAACAAGTGATTATACCTTCCGATTGAATTGTTAGAAGGAATTAAATATTATTAATTGGATTAAATAATATTTAATTCGTAATACTGAAAATGAATTAAATATTAATTAGATTAAACATATTTAATTCATGAAGTTGAAGGAGAGTTCTATTTGATAGAATTAATTAAGTAAGATAAATTAGATTTATCATACTTAAATAAGATGTATGTATTATTAAATAAAGTAGATATTTTCTTTTGTAATTTGTAATTAAAAGAAAAGTAAATAAAATAAATATTAATATATAATAATTAGAAAGTGGCGTGCAACCACATCTCAATTATTATTATTATTTTGTTTTGTTTTATCTACTTATTTAATTAATTAGGAGTATTGATCGTAGCAGGATTAGAGGTCATTAATTAGAAAGACTTTCATTGTGATTAGGAAACTAGTTTAGAACTAGTATAAATACATCCTCCTCCTCCATAATTAAGAGACCAGTTTTTAGATTCAGTATTAGCAGTTTATTTCCATGCGAAGAGATTTCCTAGCCTTTCTCTATGGGAGATCTAACCGTTCGTTCGGAAAGGAGAAATCATGTGGATACCTAAGGTCAAGGATTATCATCGCTAGGCCGGAAGATCTATAAGTTCTACTCATATCTGTTATTATTATCATATTCGTTGTTTTGTCCATAATCAGGGAAGATCTGTGTGGGAAAATTTTAAATTTCAGCTGCTGTATTTTCGAGGTACGTTACATCAATTTCCTAACAATGGTATCATAGCCAAACTGATTCTAATGACATTATACGAATTTTGATAGATACATTCGTAGTTCAAAATATGTATTTCTGAATTGCATTTTTTATGCCGTAGTTTGATTTCCGAAATCAAACAGTTTTTAACAAACTTGAAGGATTTGTTTTAGAAATTGTAATCTGAAATTGGAAGACTTGTGTTTTTCGTATCTTCGTTTTATTCACCCTTGCGATTCCGAACAATTGACGTCACCTGGATGATTTTCGCCGAAAAGTAAGGAGCAACCATGGTTGCACGCGACGAGCTCCACTGCGACCGGCGGTTTTCGCAAGGCGACGTTTCCGGCGAACTACACCTCTGTTTTCGGCGAAATCTAACAACAACGAAAGTTTTGAGATAGGTGGCTGTCTTTGAAAATTTATTTCGTCCGATGGTATAAGAAATAAATTGAGAATCAAACATCGACTGTGATTGTCTGATTGATTATACACCTGCATCATCCAATTAAATCATCTTTCAGAGATAGTTGTATATTGGTGCGTTGCTCGATACTCCGTATTTATGATTTTAAGTTCAGATATGAAATTGGGAATTAGAATAATAAGGAGGACCTTTTTGCAAATCCTGCAAAGTCTTAAGTTATTTGGAATTGGAACCAAAGACGTGCTGCGGTGTTTGAGTGGACTTGGTCCTCTGGTGTTGTACTCCGTGTTATTTTACACGGAGTATTAAAATGCCTTTTTCTAATTAGGGGTAGTAGTCAAATGTTAAAATTGGTCTTATTTAATTTGATTAATGATCTTAGATTAATTAAGTTTGATTTTAACAAATTTGACTTAACCCACTGTTGTATTATAAGTGTAATTTTAAGCATGCTTTTACTTTAATTGTTAATTATTGTATATGTTATAAATTAGATTTATGTTGCATGCTTTAATTTATATGTTTGAGTTAGATCTCATTAACATATTATTTGATAATATGTTATTAGCATCTTGATTAAATAATTTAATGCCCCACTAAATGTTCCCCATAAATTAAAATTTAAGTTTTATCTTTGATAACGACATCACTCATCATAATTAAATTAGTAGAGATATTTTTTTGTTGAAGAATATTTCACCCAAGTGTTTATTCCATTCGACAAAATATAGAACTAATTTATAGATACATATGTTTGTGATCGTGTGATGGTTTTGACTTACTTAAATTAGCTGGAGTCACTCAAGCGTCAGTGTTAATTTAGGGATGTCTATCAATTAAAAATTGATCAACCAGGAATTGCTTGGACGCGATTGGTCTAGGGACCTACCCACTATATTATTACAAGGATCAGCCCAAGTTGGGATTGTAATAGTATGAATGTGGATCTTGGCCTCTATGATTGTAAAAACAATCTATGTTCTTTTTATTGGGGTCAAAGAGCATAAAAAATAGTGGGAGCTAAATAATTAAAAGTCCATATTATTTAGTTAACTAAATGTGATCATAGGAATTATTATATGAATTTTAATTCCCGCTCTATTTGAACTTCTCTAGGATTTTAGGAAGTCAAATTTATCATTGAGAAGTATCTTGGATACAAATATTCTGACTCGACCAGACTTTCTAGACTTCGAACAAAATGTGCGTTTAGTGTTTAGGCAAGAAAATATTGAGAACGTGTTTGACACATGTGTACCTGAGGTTCCTAATGTCAACTCTTCTGAATTAGTTATGTTTGACATGGACATTCAGAAGAATGATATTGCTAAGGTAAGCTCTACTGTTGAATATTTTCCTACTGGAAAGAACAAGCAGAAGAAGAGAAATAAGGTTAGACCTAAGCCTCTAGTTTTGAAACCTAAAGGTAGGATTCAAAAGAAATCTAAGGTACTAAAGGATGTTTGCCTCTATAGCAAAGAGAGGGCATTGGAAGAGAGGTTTTAAGTTATGTAGGGCTAATCTAGCCAAAGCACCGAGTGCTTTTAGCTTAGGTATTTTTGTCATTAATATTAATATGTCTACAACTAACTCTCATTGTTGGGTATTAGATACAACGTGTGGCACACACATTGGAATAATGTGTAAAGTCCAAGCGACAGTAAGCAGTTAGACTGTGGGTGAAATTGGCCTACGTGTAGGAAATGGAGCAATAGTTGTTGCTAGGCGTGTAGGCATTTATAAATTAGATTTACCCAGCGATTATAGTTTAGAACTAAATAATTGTTATTTTGTTCCTTCTATAACAAAGAATATAATTTCCATTCATATGTTACACATTAAAGGGGTTCCTTCCATTTTGCTGATAACACTTGTTGATTTTGACAAAATGGCATTGTGTATGGAAATGCCCCTCTTATGAATGGTTTATATATTCTTACTTGAGGGCATGACATATTAAATATACAAGATAAGAGACCTAGGTTAAGTAATCAGAAAAATACCACCTATCTTTGACATTGCAACTTGGCCATATTAGTGAAACAAGAATAACAAGGTTAAGTAAATTAGACTACTTAACACCATTTGATTTTGAATCACATGGTAATTGTAATTCCTGTCTCTTAGCTAAAATGACCAATAAACCTTTTCTTGGAAAAGGATTGCGGGCCAAAGAAGTGCTTGACTTGATTCACATAAATGTGTGTGGACAGTTCTCAACTCAAGCTAGAGGAGGATTTTCTTACTTCATCATTTTACTGATGATTTCTCTAGGTTTGGATTTGTGTATCTTATGAAACACAAATCAGAAGCTTTTGAGAAATTCATGGAGTATAAGGCTGAAGTAGAAAAACAACTTGACAAGAGTATCAATACTCTACGATCTGATCGTAGAGGGGAATACTTGAGTAAGGAGTTTTTTTGATTACTTGAAAGGTCAAGGAATTCAGTCACGATGGACTCCTCAGGAACACCTCAATTGAATTGGGTTTCTGAAAGGAGAAATAGAACATTGTTGGACATGGTTAGGTCCATGATGAATTCCAGTCTCTTCCAACATCTCTTTGGGGGTACAAATTGGAAACCCCAATATACATTCTGAATAGAGTTCCATCTAAGTTAGTGCAAAAGACACCCCATGAGTTATGGTGTAATAAGAAGCCTATTCTTACACATATTAAAGTGTAAGGTTGCCTTACATATGTGAAGAAAATGGACATTGACTAGTTGAGACCTAGAAGTGAGAGATATTATTTTGTGAGGTATCCTAAGGAAACTAGAGAATACTAATTTATCTTCCCGAGAGATATAAAATCATTATTTCCAGACAAGCAAGATTCCTAGTACAGGACTTGGTCTTTAAGGAATGTAATCGTGGGAGGATAGAACATCATGAAGTTCAAGAATCACAAAATAACATAGAGGATGAAGACTTGTTAGATGGTCAAAACAAAGATTCAGTGGGAGAATTGAGTGGAAGCATGTCTCTAGGAGGATGTCTTTCAGCTAGTGGGAGTAACATAGGAATCATACTGCACCATCAAGTGATTCTTATTAAAGAAAGAGATGACATGGTTGTCATTCCTTCTGCACTCACTTCTCTTTCTCTGGAAACACTTAAAAGTGTAGCACCAGAAAACTCTTTGAGCATTGGATAGTCCAATGATAGATAACCTGTTCACGATCAGAATGAACAGCCTGAACAAAATGCAAAATAATCAACTTTGTTGGTCTACTAGGATTCGTCATGAACTAACTAGGTTTGACTTCCTCATGGAGGATCATGATGATGTTGAGATTCCTGATAAGGATGAACCTCAGACCTACATAGAATCAATATTAGATGTTGATTCAGAGAGGTGGCGAGAAGCCATAAAATCTAAAATGGACTCGATGTGTATCAATCAAGTATGGAACTTGGTTGACTTGCCTGTTGGGGTTGGACCCATTAGATGCAAGTGATTTTCAAGAAGAAAATTAATGCTGAAGGCAAGGTGCAAACATACAAAGCTAGGCTAGCGGCTAAAGGTTATAGTCAAAGAAAAGTAATTGACTATAGTGATACCGATTCGCCAATTGCAAAATTCAAGTCCATTTCGATTTTGCTTGTTATAGTTGCATAATATGATTATGAGATTTGACAAATGGATGTCAAAGCCCCTTTCCTTAATGGAAACCTTAAGGAGGAGGTGTACATGGTACAACTTGAAGGTTTTTTTATCCAAGTCAAATTCTAATTCAATATGTTAATTGGAGAAATCTATTTATGGGCTAAAACAAGCCTCTAAGAGTTGAAATATTAATTTTTATGAAAAAGTCAAATCGTTTGACTTCATCAAATGAAATGAGGGTACTTGCGTGTTTAGAGTGCTTAGCAAGGATATCGTGGTTTTTATAATCATATATGTTGATCATAGAGAATAATATCCCCTCATTGAAGTCCGTGAAAGAATGGTTACCTTATATCTTGAGGAATATCCTTTTGTCTATGGTGGAGAGAAAGAACTAGTAGAATTTAATTATTCTAACACTAGTTTCATGTATGATAAGAAAGACTACGAGTCACAGTCAGTATATGTTTTTAGTCTCAATGTAATAGTATTGCTGAAAGAGTTCCAAGTAAGAAACTACTATAAATTCAAAAACTAGAGCCTAGTAAATTGTTGCATTCGATGCAACTTAGGTAAGCGTTTAGATACGTTAGTTCCTTAAAGTAATGGGGGTAGTTCCTAGCAACAGTTATCCAATAATTGTTATTATGATTGTATCGGTGCATTTTCACAAGCTAAGGAACCAAGATGCAAAGTAAGGAACTAGAAAATACCTATGTGCTATCATGTTTTTGATGACAAATAGCAAGAGGAGAAGTTCGATTAGAATGTCTTCCCATAGAGGACAATTTGGCTGGTCCATTCACCAAACCTTTGAGATGCGAGAAACCTACTAAACTTTTGAGAGTCTAGGTGTTAGACGTATCGATGATTGGCACTAGGCCAAGTGGGAGATTGTTAGTATATATATGTCCTAGTGACAAACACTTTTTAGAGATATATGTACTTGATCATATTCAGTTTTATATATTTGATATATACGGTACTACACATTGATGATTAAGTATTTCGCTTATCAATATCTTATTCATAATTCTGTTCCCATTGACTTATGTTGTCAATAAGTAAGTGGGAGCTTATATGATATTATCTAAGGTCTTGATGATATGCCATAAGATTGGTATGTAGACTGCATGATACTTTTAGAAAGTTGATGGATAGTCTACCCGGGGGTATATATCCGAAGGGTTATTACGGGGAATAACTTAGAGAGGAGTCAGAGCAAACAAGTAAATATAGAGAGAGAGTGTATTATAAATGTGGAGCGTTTTCAGCGTGGTTACAAATGGGGAAATGGGGTGCTATTTATAGCAGCAATAAATGCCGGGCAGGGACACGTGTCAAGCGCTCATTGGCCGAGGGGTCACCTCAACTGGTTGGCGCTGGCAGCCGCATGTGGCCGCATTTAATGCGGCTGTTGGATGGGACGTCTGTGCGGGGTACGGTGATCTGTACGCATGTGAGGCGGATATCTTGTCGAGTGAGATGCTTTCGGCTATAGAGCAGTAGCCGAAGGCTCCTCCAACCGAGGGCACTTTGGTGCCGAGGGCTCACAGTGCCGAGGGCTACTGTTTTCGCCGTTTTCTCCCAGTTTCTTAGTTTGCTTGAGAGACCCGTCCTGTGAGAGTTTAGACCCTTCGGCCAGGGGGCCGAAGGCACCCCTGGCGCGTAGTGCGGGCTGCTTGGTACTCTGGGCGCTGTGATTTGGGCCTGTTGGGCCTGTTGGGCCTATGATGGAGTAGTAGGAGTCTGTGGGACGGGGGTTCCCGGGCCATATACTCCATCAGGAGTCCCTCACTCCTTTTGCCGAAAGGTACTTGAGGGAAAAGGAGTAATTTGTGCTTGCCTTTTGATGTTGTCCTGTCGTGATCTCTGAAGTTGGTGAGGAGTTGTTGCTTTTATGTCCCTGCCGAAGGCAGTCCCTCAGTTACCCACATGTCGGGACTTGAGGGCTTGCTTTGTTGTTTGTTGGAATTTCACAGATTTTGTAATTTAATGATTTTCCCGAAGGGGTCCTCCAGTCCCTCACTCCTTGAGGCACTTGTAAAGTGGTGAAAAGGAGTAAAGTAGTTACGTTGCTGTTGTGGGCCGAAGGCTGACGCTTTTCGTTTCATTTTGGGGGGATGCCTCGTTAAAAACCTCATTAGGAAAAACCCTTTGGGAAAAAATCCTAATGAGGGAAAAAGAGTGCACCGAATTCCCCCAATGATGAATCGAAAATGTCAAACCTTGGTAAAAAATGGAGAATGGCGGGAATGCCGGAGGCTCTCTCTTCTGAGGGCTCCTGTGTTGATTAGCTGAAGGCTTGCTGTTGATGTCCTGGTGGCGCCGGAGGGGAACCCCTTAATCCAGGGATCGAGGGCCTGCCAGATGAGGGCAGGAGTGAAGTTGTTACCGGGGGGTCCACTGTTTGTTGAGTAGTTGGTGATGAAGATACCCGAGGGCTCCCATTGCCTGTGTGTCATGGGTCATCCGTCAATGAGGCCACTCCCCGGGGGCTACCCGATTTTGCAATGCTGAGGGGGGATCCCCGAGGGGTCCCCTGATATGCAGCCCTGGGGATCTGAAGGAGTGATCCCGAAGGCGTCTGTTATGTGCTGTGTGGGGCGCAACCCGGGGGCACTTCTGAGTGATTGTACCCGGAGGCTATCCTTGATGAAATGGAGTGAAGTAGAAAACCCGGTGGCTTCTAGAATATAGCCGTTGGAAATATAGCCGTTGGAATACGTAACGACAGGATATAGCCGTTGGGGGGTGGCACACGTGGCGTGTGATGGCTGGCTGTCCGTGGGCGGCATCACGGGTTGGGTGAAGATGCGGTGTGTAATGATGGCGTCCACCCGGAGGCCCGGTTTTCGGGCCCAAGCCCGGACTCTGGGGTCTATAAATACCCCGGAGCCAGAGCCGTTCCTTCTTTACGCGTTCAAAAATCCTTAGCGAAGCTCTGCCAAAAATTCTAGAGAGAGAAACTCGAGCCCTCGGTCACAACACTTCCAGAGGTTAGTTCTCCCTTCGCTCCTCAACACTTTTTGCAAGTTCCACCCTCTGGCCTTAGTTTAGGGTTAGGGTTCCGTAGAAATCCTTCGAAACTTTAGGCACATTTTTCTTTGGCAAGGAATGTCGTCCGAGAGTGATTCCCAGAATATATCGAGGGAGCCCTCGGTTGAGGATGAGGTTGCTTCCGATGTCGAGTCAAGCAGCAGTGCGCCCTCGGTTGCCGATGACGAAGCGGTGGCCTTGGAGTTGCAGAAGGCCCTGGCTGCTGAGGTGGATGCCGAGGGCTTCGAACAGGAGTGCGAAGATGAAGAACTAGCCCTCGCGTGTCAGGTGGCGGAGGACGAAGCTCAAAAGGAGGCGATGATGGTTACTGTTGCTGTGCCACCCCCTCGGACTGACTGTGGTGAGCCTAGCACCTCCAGGCCGTTGGACCCGACGCCTCTGAGGATAGCCCCCGGTAAAATGAAGACAAAGTCGCAGAGGGCTGCCCCTAAGAAGAAGAGTGCGGCCGATGATGCCGGGGGGCCTGTTGAAATGCCAGAGGGGTACACCTGGCTAAACACCGAGGCCCTCGATATTAAGTCGAAGGCGGACAGGGCTGACTTGTACGTCACGCAGCTGCACGTTGGGCCCTCGGCCGTAGTGGTGGAGCCAAGCGTCGATGATCTGCTGTCCCGGCCTCCGGAGGGATGCATTGCCGTCCACATCCTGTCAGTGTCCATGGGCCTCCGGTTCCCCCTGCATCCATTCCTCCGGGAGTACCTCCGGTTTGTTGGACTCCTCCCCTGCCAACTTACCCCCAATAGCCATTCATACATCGCTGGCTTTCTGCACCTGTGCCGGACGAGGGGTGTCACCCCAAGCTTGGACCTCTTCTTTCAAAGCTTCAACTTGTGCCGGGGGGGCACGCGAATGCCGAAGGCTTCGCCAATTTACAGCAGGTAGCAAAGTTCAAGCTGTTCACCGAGGCGCCCTCGTCCAATAAGGGTTGGAAAGACAGATGGTGCTACGTCCGGCTGGCCGAGAATCCCTTCCCGAAGGAGCTACGGGGCCGCTTTCGGCGCCACGAGAGGGTGGGGAGTGCTGCCCTAGAGAAGGATGGCCTGAAACTCGCCAAGATTCCGGAGGGCAAGACGAAGGTCGTGACAATCAAAGAATGCACCTTTGAGGAAGACTTTCATGCCCTCGGGTTCCGACGGTACCGGTTCATCGGGGAAGTAGATGAGAAGTACCCTGCTTTCACTGAGGCCTTCGGGGGAGCAGGAGGTAGGCTACGGGGGCCCCTAGTCTCCTACTTAGGCATTTTCGTTTTGCATCCCGATAGTTGATTTTGGTATGAACCCTTCGGGTTAACATTCTCTTCGCTTTGTTTTGCAGGTATGGAGGCTCTCTTCGCAATGAAGAAGAAGAAGGAGAGGGCGCAAGCCCAGAAGAAGGAGAAGGCGGAGTCATCGGGTCAAAAGCCCATTGATGAGGTTTTTCCGAAGGAGACCGCAGAGCCTTCAGCTGCTGCTGCTCCCGTTACTGCGGCCGGGGGGCGAAGGCTGATGTGGCAGCCAAGCAGAAGAAGGGGGGCAAGGGGGTGGAGCCCCCGATCAAGAAGCAGAAGGTTGCCGGGGACGCCGTTGAGAAGGCGGCCCCCCTCATAATACTCGATGATCAGCCCTCCGCTGACCCCCCGGCAATTGATACTCCGATGGCTCAGACGGACCTTCCCTCGGGGAAGATGCCTCGGGAGATTATTCGACTCTCCCTCGCTCCGGGGGCATCCGTACTGCACGGTTCAGCCGAGCCGTTGTCTTTCCTGAGGGGGATTACCTCGATGATGGACAAAGAAGCCCTCTCCACCTATAACGATGACGCCCTCGAAGCCAGGGCCATTCGATCAGCTCTGACTGTAAGTTTTTCTACTTTGACTTGGTCTCAATATTTTATCATAATCCCAATGCCCGTCTGAACCCTCTGTCCGTTTGTTCAACAGGCATGCATAACCTTCGGTGAGCAGGCCCGAAGGCGAGAGGAGTGGTGCCGTCATAAGGCCGAGCTAGAGAGGTCCGTGGAGGAGCTGATTCGCGACAAGGATGCTGCCCTTCGGGAGGTGTGCAAGTTGGAGGATGCCCTTCGGCAAGCGGAGCTGCGGCTGAAGGAGGTCAGAGAAGACGGGAAGGCCGAGGGCAGGGCTGAGGCCGAGAGGGTTGCGGCCGAGGAGAGAAAACAAGCTGCCGAGGACGCCGAGAAAGCCAAAGCTGAAGCTGCTGCCAAAGCCCGAGAAGAGGCCATTGCTGGGTTCACCTCCGAGGGCTGGAAAGCCGAGGGCCAGAGCGAGTGGGTGGCTTCTGTGGTGAAGGCCTCGATCGAGGAGTGGGTGAGGGGCCCCGGACTCGACTGGATGAATGAGAGGGGTGACACCTACTATCAAGCTGGCGAGTTCTTCACCCAGCACCTGGTTTACCGGAGGCTCGCCCGGCATTTTGGCACCTCCATGGATGAGTTCAACCCCTCGGTGTACGGCCTCCCCCCGTTGCAACCGGATGTGCGGGTCCCCCTCCCCGAGGGAGAAGAGCGCCCGGTGATTCATGATTCCATGATGATGGGTGTCGATGATGATGCCGAGGACGCCACCGGGACGGAGGTTACCTCGAAGCCATCGGGGGAGGGTGCCCCCGGGAATGATGTAGTTGATGTGTAATACGTTTTTATAAATCTCTGAACATATCTTGTAATGAATAACTTTGATCCTTCGGCTTCGGCCCGTTTGTAATAGTAACATCGCAATTACACTTGCTTTTTTTTTTTGATGATTGAATGATCGCCTTCGGGCTTTGTATATATGACTTGTTCCCTTCAATTCCTTTCTTCTTGAATGTATGCCTCCGTTTTCCTTGAGTGTATGCCTTCGGTATTTTTGAATGTATGTGTTTGTTCCTTTGAATGTATGTCTTAGGACTTAGAATACTATCTGATTGTAGCTAGCCTTTAGGAGCCTTCGGTAGTTGGGCACCCTCTGCTGGATATGCAACCGAGGGTTCAGCAGCAATTAGGACTTAGAAAATTTTTCTAAGTGTAGCACACCATAGGGCCTTCGGGTGTTTGCAGTAATCCAAGTCCTAGGACTTAGAAAAATTTCTAAATGTAGATTTCCCCTTGAGAGCCTTCGGGATATGGCCTCCCTTCCTGATGTGTGAATGTTGGGCCGAGGGCCCAATGCACAGGATTTAGAGATTTTTGCTGGTGTAGTATGTCATGTAGCCTTCGGCTACTGTGGAGCCCCACCTGTAATATTGAATAGGCCGGGGGCTAATCCTTTAGGACTTAGAAGATTTTCTTGAGTGTTGATTCCTTGTGAACTGTAGCCCTCGATTGATAGGTAGCCTTCGGCAATTAGGTCCCTCGAGATGAGGGCGAAATATGTAGGACTTAGAAAATCTTCTAAGTGTAGAGTTTCCCTTGGGAGCCTTCGGGAGTCGGCATCCCTTCATGATGTATGAGTAGTTGACCGGGGAAAAACATGTAGGACTTAGAAAATATTCTAAGTGTAAATTTCCCTTGGGTGCCTTCGGGTGATAGGTGCCCTCTGATTCCACATCACTTTGCGAGATGCCCGGGGGCTACTCATTCCCTAGGGTGCCTTCGGGTGTTGTTGTATTGCATGGCCTTCGGCCACCATATTCCCTTGGCTGTAATATTGATTGGGCCGGGGGCTCCATCTTTAGGAGTTAGAATTTTTTGTAGTGCTGCTTCCCTGTGTATCCTTCGGGTGCCCGGGGGCTGCTCCTTCAGGACTTAGGATTTTTCTAAGCATAAATTGATGTTGAGTCCTGTTGTTGTGAAGAAAGCAAATGAGGAGTGTGTGCTCTCGGCATACACTTTAAAAGTTGTAGAATTTGACCCTTGTCATGGGGAAAGGGCCCTCGGTATTTGTTCATAACAGATGCCTTCGGTGTTTGTTTGAAGTACCGTTTAGTGGACCTTGGATAGTCCAGTCCCTTGGTATTGTTGAAGCCTTCGGTGTTTTTGTGACCGGAGGTGACCAGGTAGTGGACTTTAGCCGTTTCCTGATGATATTTCTTTGAGTAGTATCCTTCGGGAAATAGGAGTCTTCAATTACCGGAGGTGTTCCCGTGGGGAGCCCTCGGCATGCTGTGATATTGTTGGAGTGTACTCTTCGATTTCTCGCTGAGTCTACTCCCCTTCACCCCCTTTTTTTTTTTTTTTTGGTTGGTGGTGAAGGGGAGGCATCAAGAAACTTGGTTTCTTGGTAAGGCTGGGCCTATTAGGAGACCATCAGAATACACCAATGGCTCTCCTCCCTCGGGTTAACCTTCCGAGTGTCGAGGGGATCGAGGGACGTTTCCTGGGCACAAGATATGGTGGTCCGTAACCTGCCTCCCCTTGGGGGATGGCGCGGAAAGCGCCTCATTTTTGAAAGTCGTCCCCTCGGCGCTAGACATAGTCTGTGGCCTGCCACACCCTTGGGGTGTTGGCGCGGGGAGCGTTTCGGTTTGGAAGTCGAATCCTGGGCATTTCTCATGCCTGTCATACCCTGGGGGTAATGACGCGGATAGCGTTCCGTTTTTGAAAGTCGAATCCTGGGCATTTCTCATGCCTGTCATACCCTGGGGGTAGTGACGCGGAAAGCGTTTCAAGGAAGGGTTTTCATTTGCACACTAGTTGCAAATGGCCGGGGGCACTACGTGCCGCCGGCACCGATGGTGGCGCCTTCGGTATATGCGTCCTCGTGGGGTACGGCTTTTAGAAACAACACTTGGTGTTAGTTTCGATGTGTAGCCCCCGGTACTTGGTACCGAGGGGTCTTCTGTAGGAACACTTGGTGTTCTCTTTCGTTGTAGTTGATGTAGGCGTCTACCCTCGGTACTTGGTACCGAAGGGTCTTCAAATGAAACACTTGGTGTTTCCCAATAGATGTTTGGAAGCTGTCAGGAGAGCATATCCCTGGCACTGGGTGCCGAGGGGTCTTCTTTGAAACACTTGGTGTTTTTTCTTCGTTTCGATATTTGATGAGGGAAGTACCCTCGGTACTGGGTGCCGAGGGGTCTTGACTGAAAACACGTGGTGTTTCTACTGTTTGTTGTAGGTGTTGATGGTGTCCGCCCTCGGCACTGGGTACCGGAGGGGGTTCTTCTTGTGGTGAGGCCTGGGGCCTGTAGTCAGTATGAGGGCTTGATGTCTTGAATGTATCTTCATTCTTCGAAATTGGAGGCCTTGGGCCATTGGATAGTACATTCACTAGTCATGAGGGCTTGGCCGCTCTTACATTATTGATAAAATTTAACTAAATGGTGTACATTCCAGTGCCTAGGGACCTCTTTCCCGTTGGGGCGTTTGAGCTTGTAAGTCCCGGGTTTGATGATGGCTGCTATGATGTAGGGGCCTTCGAATTTTGGTGCCATTTTTCCTCCCTCGGTTGGTTGGCTGGCTTCCCTCCTCCGGAGGACATAGTCCCCCACTTGAAATTCCCGGGTCCGAACTTTGGCGTCGATGTAGCTTTTAACTTGCCTTCGGTAGTTTTCTGGCTGGATGAAGGCCTGCTCCCGGCGTTTTGAAATGAGGTGCAGGTCGAGGGCCATGTTGCTGTCGTTGACCTCGGGGTCATATTGGATCACCCTTCGGGTAGGAAGGGTGACTTCCGTAGGAGCTTTGGCTTCAAAACCGTAGCAGAGGGAGAAGGGTGTTTCACCTGTAGCGCGCCGAGGGGTAGTGCGGTAGGCCCAGAGGATGTTGTGAAGTTCTTCCACCCAGCCACCACCCTCGGCCTCCAGCTTCTTTTTGAGGCCCTCGAGCAAGGTCCGGTTGGCGTTTTCTACCTGCTCGTTGCCTTGAGGGTAGGCAACGGAGGAGAAGGTGTGTTTGATGCCCCATGCCTCCAGAAGGGCACAGAAGGGGGCTGCCTCAAATTGTGTTCCATTGTCGGAGATGATCTGCTGGGGGACGCCAAACCTTGTGAGGATGTTCTTGAGGACGAAGTGACGGCACTTCGCCTCTGTGATGCTGGCGAGGGGTTCAGCCTCCACCCACTTGGTAAAATAGTCGACGGCCACAATGATGTATCTGTTGTTGGAGGTACCCCTCGGCAGAGGGCCCACAAGGTCTATCCCCCATCGAGAAAATGGGACAGATGTGCTGATGGGGGCATAGTTGACCGCTGGCCTGCCGGGGGCTTTCAGGAAATGTTGACATGCGGTGCACCTCCGGGCAAGGTCAGCACAATCCCTGGCCATGGTTGGCCAGAAGTAGCCCTGGAGAATGACCCTTCGGGACATGGAGAAGGGTCCCTGGTGAGCTGAGCAAGTGCCACTGTGCACTTCCTCCATTGCGACCTCGGCTTCATCTGGATGAAGGCACCGAAGTAGCGTGCCATTGTAAGATCGTTTGTAGAGCCTTCCATCTTCGATGGTGTAGCTGGGAGCCCTCAGTTTTGCCAGTTTAGCGCGGGCCTCATTCTCGGGTAGCTGCCCTGTGGAGATGAAGGCGGTGATATCTGAAATCCAATCCTCCTGACGTTGTTGTATGTTCATCACGGGGCTTGCATGGATGCTTGAGAGGCTGAGTTCCTCGATTTTGGCAATCTTGGAGATGTGCTCGGGGGAGTCTGCCGAGAGCTTAGATAATATGTCGGCCTCGGAGTTCTGAGCCCTCGGTATTTGAGTGAGAGAGTGTGCCTCAAATACCTTAAGCAACTCCTTGGCAGCTTCCTTGTACTGCTTCATTCTTCCTTCCTTGGCCTCATATTCTTCGGAGATTTGGCCAACGACCAACTTGGAGTCGCATTTGATGTGGATCTGCCGAGCCCTCATGTTGGCAGCCAGCCGAAGGCCACATAGGAGGGCTTCATATTCGGCCTCATTGTTGGAGACTTTGAAGGAGAAGCGGATCGCATAGTAGGCCCTTAAGCCCTCGGGAGTAATGAGGACTACCCCTCCCCCGCATGCTTTGGTCGCGGATGAGCCGTCAGTGTAGAGGGTCCACCAGTCGTCCGAGGTAGTCGAGGGCTCCCCGTCCGTGGCTGCCCTTGCGGTGCATTCCGTCACAAAGTCCGCTAGGGCTTGGCCCTTGATGGCAGGCCTTGGACGGATGTCAATGTTGTATTGGCTCAAGAAGATAGCCCATTTAACCATGCGGGAGGAGCTGGTGGGGCTTCTCATGAGGGCGCCGAGGGGTTGATGAGTGAGGACCTGAACGGGGTGAGCCTGAAAGTAGTGGCCCAACTTCTTGACAGTCCAAACGATGGCCAACACCGTTTTTTCCACAGGGGAGTACCTGAGCTCGGCCTCCCTTAGGGTCTTGCTAACGTAGAAGATGGCATGTTGGATGCCGTCTTCCTCCCGGATGAGCACAGAGCTGATGGCTGCCGGGCTAACCCCAAGGTAGAGGTAGAGGGTCTCCCCTACCTTGGGTTTGGAGAGCACAGGGGGTGAAGATAGATATCTTTTTAGCTCGTCGAAAGCCCCCTGGCATTCTGGAGTCCATAGAAAGCCAGCCGTCTTCCTCATGATCTGGAAGAAGGGTAGAGACTTCTCTGCCGATTTAGATAGGAAGCGGTTGAGGGCTGCCAGGCGGCCCGTCAACCGTTGAACTTCCTTCACGTTGCGTGGGGGCTCCATGTTG